TAACGAGTCCAGTTCTGAGCAGACCCGCGCGCCCCGTTAATGACGCACTTTCATAAAGTAAATTAAATAAATAAATTCGATTCTTTCCCTCACTGAATTCCCGAGGGGTCAGCGCGGCGGCAGCCAGAGCCACGTCCCGGGGTGAGGGGGTGAAGAGCGGCCGCGGTCTGCCCGGGACTCGCTCCCGGAGCCGGCTCTCTCGGTGGGAAACGGTGCCGGTGATCCCGGGCACGGCACCGCCAATCTCTCGAGCACGGTCTGGTTCCTCATGGCACTACCTGCACCTTTCCTTCCATAGCTGCCGAGCTTCACTTTTCCCAATTATTTAATGAGCAAAGACCTTGGGTGAGGTGCTGGTGTGTACTGGGAGCCATGGAGCGAGGTACTGGGGCCCACACAGTGAGCAGCGGGGCTTGGGCTGCAGCCCAGCTCTGGTAACCATGGCCAAGGTCAACTGCAGATCCCCCTCCAGGGACTGGGAGAAGGATGTGTTATATATATCTATATATATATGTATACACCTAATATCCCACCTGTATGCACACAGTGTAGACTGATGGCAGGAAACTGCCTACACATCAGCAGAACCTGCTCCAGGTTTGGATCTGGACTCGAATCCGGATTGAGCCCCCAGCCCCATCCAGAGGCCGTGCAGGCGGCCGTGGAGCTGCTGCACACCGAGGCGTGCGGGGCCCGGCCCTCCCCGGCTCCATCTGCATCTCCCCCGCGGTTATCCCGGCGTTCCGACAAACCTGTTCTGTAAATAGCACAAGTCTTTCTCCCAGGACTATTTCCTGCAAGATTTGTCTCTCGTTTATTCCAGCACACAGACTGATTTCAATGTATATATATAATCTCCTGCCTCTCATTTATCCCTGCCTGCCTCCCGCCCGCCTCCAACCTCCTTTTGTCTCCCTCTTTCCTGGTGAATCCATTGCCAGCCTCTCTCCTCGCAAGGAAAATTAATGACTTATCGCATCTGCTGCCACTGGAGCGGTTCTTACCCTGTGGCAGCGGCAGACACGGCTCTGGTGTGAGGTGCAGAGTCATTGCGGAGGGTTTTTGGGGGAGAAAAATGGTTTCTCCTTCCCTCTCCAGCCTGCAGTGCTTGGCTTCCCAGAGCCAGGGGCTCGCCGGGAGATGCGCGGTGCCGGGGGGATTCGCTCTGCTGCAGGGAATGAGGGAGAGGTTTTTACTCCTCCCAAGATGCTGAACACAAGGTGTGGAGAACCAAACCCCTTCCTCACTCCAGATCAGTGCTCAGGCTCTTGACCAAAACTGCCAGGCCTGGCCCCAAAGAGGAGAGGGAGACAGGCTGCTCTTGATAATGGTCTTGACCTGGGCTCCACTTGGAGAGCATCGCTCCTCTTCTCATCAGAAAAATAAAATCATGTTTCTTTTGCAGAAAATGGAAAGGTTTTTACCAAACAGGGTCACTTTTCCCTCCCTTACATCTGAAAACCTCTCACAGAACTGTGGCAAAGGCTTCTTATTGCTTATTTTTTCCAATATTCCTACATGGAAAAAAAGAAGATGAGCTGAAACAACCCCTACACCCAGCCCCCCTTCCTGCCCAGCTCAGGGGCTTCAGCTGTTTCAGAGCCTTTTTACTCCTCTGAACAGACCCCTCAGAATTAACTCCTCACCTGCCCCAAACCCTGCACACAAATAAACCAGCGTGCGGCAGGACCAGGCACACGGGAGCACGACTGAGGTGGGGACGTCCAGACAGCCAGGATGAAAATATCACCCACCCTTTCCACGTCTGCCAGTTGTGATCCTTCAGAACAAACACTGACGAGCTAAGGAAACATCTTGGGGTTTTTATTGATTATTCCATCTGAAGGGACACTGGCACTCCTGCAGCATTGTCACGCTCCAGAGCACTGAACACACCCAACCGTCCCCTGCGTCGCAGGTTTGATGCAACTGAAAAACACTACCTTTACAAAATGACAGGAAAAGCATTAAAACTTACCCTAATTAGCTAAAAAACCCCCAAAGAACTAATAACATTGCAGTTTAACATCCATTTTTAAATAGGTCTACACATAAATAAGTGTTAACGTAAACATGCTCCATGAAATCTGAAACTGCAGGATTTCTAGGAAAAAGGATTTCTTCCTGAAGCTTACGTGGCTCTTCTAGGGGTGGTGGAACTTCTCTCTGCCTGAACACATGAAAACGAGGCTGGAAACAGTAGCTTCCTAGACCTTAAAATATCAAATAATAAATATTTTGTGAAAGGAATATTTTCAAATATAATAAAGATTTGATGAAGAGATCTTAACAGACTTCTCTTCCTGATGGTGTTGGATAATTAACACACACAAGCCCCATTCAGAATAATCAAACCTGCAAAGCTGATCTCTCAGAAAGGTTTTTAAGGACTTCCATAAAATCCTTCACAATGGAAATCTCTTCTGCAGAATATGTATTTTAGCTATATTTTATTAACAGAATAAGTCACTGCTCATCACATAAACATATATATTAAAACCAAACATGCTAGGGAGCGCCTTGGTAACTGGGACATGGCAGTTCTGAGAGGTGCTGTAAAGGGAAGAGCGCTCTGCTCGGCCACCACTTTGACAAGATTTGAGGCATTTTTCTAGGAAATCTATTTACTGAAAGCTTTAGAATAAGATTTATTTTTATTTGCTTCTCCAACTATTACCTGATTTCAGTGAGCGTTGAACATTGGGCCGAGGGTGGCTGTGATGTCAGCGAAGGGAGCGCTCTGCTGAAGCTCAATAACCAACTGCTTCTTCAGAAAGAGAAAAATGTAGAACTTGGCCGCAGCTTCTTTCCGGTTGTTTTTCCGGCAGAACTCCCGTAAGCTGAAAGAACACACGCCTGATCTCCTCAGGTGCTGCGTGAGGGAAAGAAGAAAATCAGTCAGGTCAGCTTCTCTGCCAGTAAAACCAGATCTTGTCACGTCTGAACTGAAGGTGCTGCTCGTCGGAGCGAATATTCTCTGCTCGAACGCCTCAAACAGGTTCCTCTCTTGGCGTCTCTGTAAGTGGCTCTTAACATCTTGCTGCCCTAACATTGCTCACACCTACGTATGTTACTAAAATCTCCGTGTGCCCACAGTTCCTGTGAATTCTCCTGGCTTTCATGATTCAAAACAATCAAACCCATTGCAGGTCCTGGTGTTCGGGTGTGGAGAACCAGCTACACCACGGGCAAGTTCAGTCAGAGCTGCCCGGGTGTCAGCACCGCATGGTTTTAAAGGCTGTGCTTACACATAAGTGTTTATTTATGCACCAAACCTTTGACATATGTTCACATAAACCGACTTTAAAACAAACCAAGAAGGCTGTGAGGTCAGACTCCAGCACTAGGGAAGAGCTAGGCTTGGACCTGAGTTTGGTGGGTTTTGTGGACCAAACCCATTCCCCACACCCTCTTGCCCATGATCGGATTCCTCCATCACGTTCCTCCATTCTCCATTCAGCCACTTTGGATTAGAGAACTGACCTGAAGGAAAAGAACTGGTTTGGGGTTTTTTGCTGTGTTTTTTCTACTCATCCCCAACCAGACTGATGATAAAGCACCAAAATGCTTGTCCAAGCAAAAAGGAAGGAACAGCACTGAGCTGTTTGGCCAAGAGTCTGGACGTTGAGCATCAGGATGCGGTGCTGGCTCCTGTTGCCATCCTGTCGATACAGCGGATATTGTACATTACAGCTTCACCAGTTCTACAATCATTTCTGTGAGAAAAGCAGAATAACCCTTCCCTGATGCAAAGGCTACGCTCTCTGCTAAATTTCAGGCACCTTGAGAGCACCAGGGCATTAAAATCTCTTAAAGAAGGTGTTACCAGCTTTCTTTTTACCATAACCCTCACTCATTTCCCCAGCCTTCATCTCAGAAGCAGCTCAGGCAGATGAGCAGCCAAATGCTGGCAGCCTGCAGCGCTCGGCTGAGATCTGGCAACCTGTTAGCAGCCAGGAGCTGGGTTTTGTAGAGCTACTCCAGAGCATACTCATAGGAGGAAGAGAGGAAGGGCTTAGCATTGCAGCAAACACTGCCGTGGAAGCAACATTCAAAAAATTCTAGTGATTTGAGCAGCTCTGGGAGAGGACATTGTGCCAGGCACTCAGAATCCTGGGTTCCTACATAAATACCCAATAAAACAGGGTTATACACTGAGTGTGAGAGATCAATACAATCAACAGTGTGAGCAGGAGATTTCCTGACATGGTCCAACTGAAATCAACACCGGGTTTTGGCATCTAATGACAAAATCCAGCACTGGTACCTGTAAAGTTTTTAATAACTGAAGAGTTCTTTTGCTCCACCTTATTTCTTCACTGTCCTTCCTGTTCTTTGTTAGCTCCTGGAGAGGAAATAGAACAGAAGGTTAGACAGCATGTGTAAGGAGTCCCACACCATGATGAGAAAAAGGACAAGAGTCCCAGCCTAATTGAAAATCCAACTGGAGCTGGGTGTTTTCATGGCCATACTCAGGATATCTGGGACCTCTGACACCTCTGTGGTCATACTGGGCTTCATGAAGCTGAGAAAAGAACATGAACTTGATGTTCTTTCAGCTACAAAGAGACAGATCAGGTGCACCAACATGTCAGGTACTATGGAAATGGTCCCAATGAGTGCTGGGGAGGCAGCTTCACAACAAAACACTGTTCTGCATGACTGGGATTCTGATGGTGTTTTTCAGGGTCAGGGGTCAAAAAGGATATTTTAAAAAATTGGCTTTAGATTTTGGACTTAGCCTCTGAAGTCGACAGGAGAAGACTGCCCTTGTTTCACAGTGTCCAAGTATCCACATAGCCAGTGAGTTCAGAAACAGTTTCCTTCTTACAGGAAGAAAAATCTCTAAATGAGGTCACAGACTGTACCCTTTGAGTGCTGGAATACAGGTACCCCTGATTACCGAGCTGTTAAAGATGTTGATTGGCAAAATCTGTACTAAACATGATGTCAGTACAGCAAAATTCATTATATTCATGATAGAACAAGAGGCTATGGTTATAAACTGGACAAAAGCAGACTGAGATGAGATCTGAGGAAGAAATTCTTTGGTGTGAGGGTGGTCAGACACTGGAACAGGTTGGCCAGAGAAGCTGTGGCTGCTCCTCCCTGGAAGTGTTTGTGGCCAGGCTGGATGAGGCTTTGAGCAACCTGGTCTAGTGGAAGGTGTCCCTGCTGCTGGCAGGGGGGTTGGAACTGGATGAGCTTTAAGGTCCCTTCCAACCCAAACCAGGCTGGGATTCTACATTCATGGCCAGAGTTGTCAGCTTCACGCTCCCGTACGTTGGTTAACTCAGCTTGCTGCGCTCCAGCTTCTTGGCCCAGTGAATTGTTCACCAGCGAGGAGCTCTCGGAGAAAGCCGTTCCATTCTGCTGCTAGAACAGAAAGGATGATCAATAGACATTCTGATTTATGCACACAACCTAACTCTCAATTATGTAATTCTGCTCAAAGAATCTATTATAATAAATGTTTTCCAGAAATTATTCCACCATGTCTCTTCTCACAGAGGAAAGGACCTGGCTGTGGTATTGATCATACAGCTGGGTCTACAGCCATGGGCTCAGTTCAGGCACAGGCTCTACAGTTTCTGCTGCTCTTAGGCCCAATTTTGTCATTCTTTTTTCAACTTTAATAATCCTCATATTCTCTAAAGAATGCCCTTTCATGTTAGCCTGGATAAAGATGGCAAAATACAGAATTTGTTATTGCTTGAGTATTTCCTCAATTTGAGATGCAAAAGATAATCATCTTTATAGAGGATAAAAATGATCTCTTTGGTACCAAGAGGCTATATTTCATATTAAAGTTCTGTTCATACTTTAAAGTCTAGTCATACTTTTAAAGTCTAGTGATTAGACTTTAATCTATATTGATTATCAAACCTTTTAATTAATAATTAACTCATGGTGAGAATCTTCCAAAGTGCCTATAAATAAACTTTCATGACACCAACTACTTAATGCTGTACAGGCTGCCTCCAGCATCCTTTCCAAACCTATATTAGTCGTTTTTAAAGTTGTTTTACATGGAACCCTGGCATAGAATGAAACCAATAAATACATTTAGGTCTCTAAAACGATGGAAGCTGCTCACTATAGTTTCACCACAGTTGTCACCAGTTTCATTTCTGTTATTCTGTGATGCCAACATAACCGAATCATTTCTAACTTTTCTCTCAGTCTCTGAATGAGCTGACTCCTGCAGGTAACTTGGCTCTTCTACTGTCAGCATCTCTGTATTAATAAAATAACAAGGTTTAAAGGAAATTACTGTGAATTGTTGTCCTTAAAAAAAACAAAGAGAGAGAAAAATCCCACTCTATTCTAGCAATCTTTGAGAGCAAGAGCCAGAATGAGTAAATATAGAAAAAATGTCATTCCCAATAAGACCACAGAAGAAGAACAACCTTCCAAGAGAGTTTTTCCTCTCTAAAAGTTGACCTTTATGGACTTGCAGGAGGTGGTTTTGTTGATTAACTTCTGAGGCAGAGAGAGGTTATATTTCTAGCAGAGTAAAGGAGTGAAAGCAGATACATGACCTTCCCAGGAAATCTAAAATGGAACAGTTCTTCTGGTTTGATATTAACCAAAACACAATCTTCAAGCTATAAATACAAGTTATTTACATGAATTTGGAAATTTGGAAGGTGGTTTGACTAAACTCAGAATAAGTGGGAAGTTTGGGTTTTTTTAAAAAACAATAATTGCAGTTTAGTAGACAATTAGAGAAACCAAAGGTGAAACCAAAAATACCTCCTTATGCCACAAGGAAGAAAAATACTTCCATTTCATTTCTGATCTAAGGAACAGCAAAGTACTTATAAAAACAAAACTTTTTTTTTTTTTTTTTAATAATTAGCAGCCAATTTAATTAACATTTAAATTTTTTGGCCTTTGATTTGTGGAACACTGCACATAAACACTGAGCATGTGTCTCTCAAACCTTATGTAAAACAGAATATATTTTCTGACAGGTAATTCTGCAACAACAGAATTGAAATATTACCTGTGGTATCTTGCTCTTTCCTTATTTCTTCCATTTCAGACTCTCTCTGTATTCCATTTCTTCTCATCGTAAATCTGGGACTCTTGAAGCATTTTGCAAACAACTGAAAACAATTATTTTTGTTTGCTTTCAGAAGATCATCTCAGATTATTTGCAAGCATGAACACAAAGGTATGAATATGAGCTGTACATTAATTACTGCAACCTACAATTCAGAGAGTTGAATTTGGTATTCTGAAAATATGCCTTTTTTTTAAATTATTTTTAAGTAATAATTTGGCAGTGAACTCCATGAAGAAACACCCTAGGAGCAACTTGGATCATTTTTCCTTGAAGCCAGCCAGTAGGGAGGGATGAAAGAAACACCTGCAGTTCTCTGTGTGTGGATTTCCCTCCCTGTGTACTGCTGGGTGAGTATTTTTCATCCTCATAAAGAGGGAGTTGTAATTCTGCACCTCGACTCTAAGTGGTGAAGCTGTGCTGCTGTAATCACCCGGCCTCCTGGATCCCTCCAAGCTCCACAACAGAAAAAAACACACGAGGCTGCTGCACAGAGCATACACCACATCTTCCTGTATCACCTCGTGCACACGTTGATCTCTTTATCTTATCTCCAGCTCTAAACTCACAGCTTCTTTGAATGATGTGACAGATACTACGTGGGGACATGAGAGGCTTTGATAGATCATATTTCTATGAAACAAGTACATCTTTCCAGTGCAAAAAGAGCAGCGAGGTCTGGCCCACCCTTCTAGCCAAAGTGATAGAGTGATCAGGACCCTCTCGGTCCTCTGATGGGATTTCCAGCTGGCAGCTTAATCTCCAATTGGCAAAATCCAAAAGAAATTGGCATACCATGTTTCCAAAGCCATTAACAATATACAAATAATAATGTTTAAGCCTTATGTACCTTTAAAGCAAAGGCAGAAGATGTGGTCTCATGTTGATTACAGAGCAGAAACAAACCAGAAATTAACAAAGCAAAGTAGAAAGTAGGAAAGAAATTGACAGAAATCCACAAAATTGTGTATTAGTGTACAACCAGTCGGGTGCCAGGGTGTGAAATGAAACATCAGCTCTCCAGTTTCTTTGTCATTTTTCACTTGTTGTTGGAGTGCTGGAGATTAAAGCCGTGAGCTCTACAGATAGTTATTCTGATGAAGCAATTAGTGGGGAGTATGCAAATAGTCATCAGGTATCCAACTGAACAGAAAACAGTACTTCCAGGGATGCTACACACCCGCAGTTTGCTCGGAGTTCACGTAAAACCAAGCCTGCAAAATCTCTCCCAGTTGGATCCTGGATGTACAACAGCCCCGTAACCTACACAGCGGTGTAAAAACCTACAGGGAATGGATCTTTACCATCTGCAGCGCGGCGTGAACCACGGGCTGCGTGGCGTGGGACAGGAGTTTATCCACACCTCCTGATTTCTTCCACATCATTGTTTTTTTGGTTGGAGGTGCGAGGTCTAAAGTAGCCAGGATGTCTGTGCAGTTGTTAAGTTGGTTGTATATAATGTTGCAGCTGAGTTCCTTCTCTACATCCACAAGCAACTTCCTCTTTCTTTTATTTTTTTTCCTCTGGTTGACAGCTAAATTGAGCAAGTATTTAAAAAAAAAAAAAAAAAAGAAAAAGAAAGAAAGAAGACTAATAAGCTCTATTCACAGAACACTTCAGCACAAAAAAAGCACTGTGAATCAAATGGACAGGCTGCTGACCTCCTGAAACACTGCACCGACTTGAAAATCAAAGTACAAGTGCATGAGCTATTTCTCCAAAAGTTTTCATAAAGTCTATTTTTTGTGTTCTTACTCAGGAAATTCACCTACGTTTAACTATGGAAGATCTCTGACTATTGTACTAGAGAACCAGGAACACGAGGACTTAGGGAGAACACGTGATATACCAACCAGACTGAATAAGCTATCTTTAATCCATCAGGAAGTTAATTGTTCCAAGAGCTGCTGATGTACTCAACAGGTTTCGTTACCTCATAATTAATATCTGTATTTGCCAGTTTAATCCTTTAGCAATTTAAGATGCACAGAGTAAATGCAAAGGAGAGTCACAGATTTGTTATCCAGCCATAACTGCCTGTTTTCAAGCTGGAAAATTGTAGGATTCTCAATATTAGTGTCAACATGAACTTATGTATTTGCTAACAGCCACCAAGGTGACAGATGACATTTAGATTTACCCACGGCAGAAAGGAAACATTTTGCTTTTTTGGATCTTATTAAAGTTAAAATTTCACAAAGGAAAATTTTACAAAGTCCTGGAAGTTTTAAGATTGTTATTTTACACATAAAAATCACTGATGTGTCACTAGCAATAAAAGTTCTTCAGCTGAAACTTTATGAAGAGGCCGGGCTCGCACTGCTAGAGCTGCAGAGCAACAGAACTTGATTTGGTACGTGAAGGAAACTGTAATCAGAGATTTGGGCAGGTCAGATGAATAACTTGATATTGGTTTTGTGTAATAGTTACCATAAAATAGAACTCTGACAGCAGGAGCAGATGAAATCTAAAGTGGGAATAATCTGCTTTGCAAATATTTGCACTAACAAGAGAAAAAACAAACCTAGTTAATGCAACCACCCAGCAAGAAACTGGTCAAGTTCTGACCTGTATCATCAACCGGCTCAAGCACAAATCCTTCCTCTTCTTTCAAGAGAAGGGCTGTTTCATTCATGAGGTGACTGACTTCCTTAACGGTGGTGTCTGCACAGTTGGACTCAACTGTAAGAAAACCCAGCAAATAACTCAAAGAAAAAAAAGTTTACAAGATGGAATAATGTCCCACTCTCATAACATAGAACAAAAAAAGATCAGAATTAGAAAATTATGATTTTGTCTATAATCTCACAATCACTTTAACCAGTAATAACTGGCACTGCTGCTGCTCATACTTGGCACTGCACACTGTCCTCTGCTGTATGACCAGGTGGTGAAACAGGCTGAAGACTCATCTGGAGGAAAACCCACCTGATGAAAAGTGTTTAGTGGGGAAAAGTGTTTCATTTCCATACATATCCATTTCCAGTTCCAGGCAACTGTGTGGCAGTGTGGACATTGCTGTCAACGTAAAAGGAACAGTAGTACCTGGACTAGTGCAAACTAGTGTTTCCCCTTAAAGCTGTTCCAAACTGGTCACTTTTAAAGTAACAGTGTGATGGGGGTATAATGGTTTAAGATATAAAAAAAAAATTCCAGAAACACTTTTCAAAAATTAATTTCATTGCTATCAAATTGAAAGACAACCAACACCACCTTTATGAACTACTAAAGCGTCATTTGTTGCTGAAAGATGAAGCCAGAAATACTGAGAGGTAAAGCTCAAAGTTACAGCACATCCTTACTCAGTTTCTTGTCCTCTAAAGTGACATCACACTGTCTAAGCAGCAGGGTGGATCAACAGCGTGTCCAACAGGATGTCCTATAAAAGTGTTTCTAAGCCATGTCAAGTTCCAAACCTGGAATCTCTAGGTCAAATGAAATTATATCTAAAATGGTGGGTGAAGCACGTTAGAAAAAAAGTAAAATAAAGGAACAAAGGAAAAAGGCACAAAGCTGAACATGAGTAACGTGAGGTATTAACAGAGGAACAGAGGGTTTGTGTGGGGAAGACGGAGCAGACGCTGCAAACTCACTGGCTGTGCCGTTCTCTGGCAGATCTTGTGACAAAGGATGCTCCTCCTCCATATCAACAATGTCTTTATCTTGGCCATTTTGTTCATCCCTCAACAGGATTTCTTAAACACAAAATGCACAGTTTTAATCATTCTAAGCCTTAGCAGTCATGAAATAACCCAGCAAAGCCTGAAGTTACTTATTGCAGGTTAATCCTGTGCAAACAAAAAGCTCAGCTTCCAGAGACAGTTGACGACACGGCTGCCTTCAAGAGTACAAAAAGAACATTAGTCTTAATTTGGAGATTTCCACCTTTTCTTTGAAAAGTAGGATATTGATATTGTTTAAAAGGTATAAATCTATAAACATTGACGTCAATACTCTAAACCATAAAGATGTTGAAGCTACTTTGCTGCCTTTTTTATTATAACAATAAAGATAAAAACGCTGCAGTATTTAACTTTTGAAAATATAAATTAAATTGTCAAACATTAAGTATAAATTGAGCACCTTTAGTGCTAAAAAATTGAAATTTCTTTAATACATTTTTACTTGGCAATGATCATAGATTTAGTGACAAGTAGGAAAAAAAAAGAAATGAAAACAACAACCAAAAAAAATAGTATTTATGTTTGAAAACAATCACTTTCACTCTGTCTTGTTTGTTTTCCTATAAGAATAAAAATATTTGGAAAGAAACTGACTCTGTTTATCTGTGGCAAACCTTACCAATCATATCTGCAGCATCCTCCTCGTCTCCAAAACAGTCGTTCTCAAAACAGTAACTGTCTGCCTGCGGTGCAGACTTCTCTCCATTCACACTCCCAGAGTTGTGATCAGCCAGGAGACTGTTACTGCTCGTCAGGATGCTGACATCAGAGCCGCTCTGTTTTCTTAGTGCATCTGCTTCTTCATCTGGATAAACACAGAATTTCTGATGCTTCATCTGCATGAATTTTTGAAACATGTATTTATCCATTTCCTAATTTTTCTAATAATTTTTAAAAGATTGTAAGATATCCCATACCTCAAATGGAAAAAAATAACAAACTATTTTAGCTGATTCAGTAAAAATCAGATGTTGAGTTTGATTCTCAGTCTCTGATATTGTACTATATTACTTAGGCAGAGTACTTACACACAATGTAAGTGTAACACAGTATGACAAGCCAACTGGCACAAGCACAAAACAAATGCACTTTTAATAAAAGTGGAAAGGACTCAGCCTGTACAAAATGTTGCAGAAAACACACTTTTCCTTATGGAATATCTCTAATTTCTCAACTTCTCTCACCGAAGTTTCTATCACAGAGAAGTATATTGCTTTCGTAATCCTCTGTTAGTGTGATGTCTTCAGCTCTGCTCTGATTCAAGGTAAAATGTTCAGCAACATCAATGGCACTGATAGAAAAAAAATTATACAAAATATAGAGTGAACTGAACTGAAACCCACTGACCATTTAGCTGGAAGGTGAAAATTTGCTTCGAAACAGTCTTCAATCCTGACATTTTCTCATAAACCCCCAAAAGCCAGCTCCTGTTTTCTATGGCATCGAAAGTACCCGGCTGATCCCCACTTCTCCACAGAGAGCAACTCTTTCCCAAAGCTATCTGCATTCCAGCCATTTAAGATTTTATTGATAAAATTCACTGCTTTGATTTTCCTCTGAAAGCTAAAAATAAGCATATGGGAAACAGGTGGTTTATGTTCCTTAAAACTGACACCTCTAAGCAAGTAGCCAGCTGCCTTCTTTGCTAGCCAAAGCTCCTACACAATCTCCAACGTACGTTGTACAGTGGAGACTGAAGCTGCAGTAGCCACGTAGCTGGGGACAGGTCCATGAGGAGGGGAAAACATTTGGTAACTCAGCTTTGAAATACCCCCAGCCCCTGGAACTCTGTGAGCAAATGATCCAGATGTACCCTCAGAGAGCAAGCCCCTCAAGAAACAGCAGGTAGAGTTGTAAGGATGAGGGAAGCACCCATCCTCATCTTCATATTTCCTATTTCTCTACTCTCTTCTGACAGTAAATTTGGGCTTATGTGAGCTTGTCACATCCAAGCCCCATTATCTACCAAACACTTGTCACACAGAAGGCTTCTAATGAGTGGAACACCATCATCTGTGAGGGTGGTCAGACACTGGAACAGGTTGCCCAAGGAAGTTGTGGCTGCTCCTCCCTGGAAGTGTTGAAGGCCAGGCTGGATGAGGCTTTGAGCAACCTGGTCTAGTGGAAGGTGTCCCTGCTGCTGGCAGGGGGGTTGGAACTGGATGAGCTTTAAGGTCCCTTCCAACCCAAACCAGTCTGGGATTCTATGATCTGTAAATCAAACCACACAGACCCTTTGGGCAGGCAGAAAAGGCACGTTTTACAGAGTTAGCACACTGAGGTACTGGAATAAATAACATTACATCATGGCTGTACTGACAAAATACTAAACACTCACGGATCCCATCAAACCGTTTTTCTGCCGAGGTACAGAGGACGCCTCAGTGGAAGCCTGTTGTCCTGGACCTTTGGAGCCATCAGAAACACGTCTTGGCCTCCTGCTTTTTTATCAGTTTTTCTACATGAATGCTGATTCGTGTCAGAAAAGCCAAAGCAATTCGCTGGCTTTTCATCAGGAGCCAAGCTGACAACTGCTGATAAAATCCCCCAACCCAAAGAGCAGCAGAGCAGAAATTAAAGCCAGTTACTCAATGGGACAATACAACATTGTGAGGTTACTAGCCAAAGCTTCCTTGGTCTTACAACAGGATTTATACTTTTATATCTGCTCTTGAGGTCTGTAAGTTGTTTGCAGGCTTCACTCAATTTAAAATTAGAAAACCCTGAAGTCTAAGTTCTATACATTGCTTCATTGTAAAGGTCTGTTGATTAAACGGACTTTGAGGAATTCTACGAAAGCACAATTCCTGTCACTGCAGCCTTGTAAAGCTGACTCAGAATTCAGAAGAATTCAGTTATCAAATCAAAACAATTCCATCTGAGTCTTGATCAGATAACAGCAAGGATATATTTTGCTTCTGAAAACATTAAAATAATGAATAAAAACTAGGGAAGCATTTACTTTAAATCAGGCAGTGGCGTTTCAAAATCATGAAATTCTTCAGGTAAGGTAATGGACTGATAAGCAGCTTCAATGTTCTCTTCTGGAAGGTCAACAAGTCCTAAAAGAAACAGACAACATAACAAAATAAGTATGAATAAAATAAAAGTAATGGTTCAACCAAGTACATATAATAAGACTATAAACCTGTCAGGAAAGTGCTGCAATTCTAAATCACAAAAAGGCAAAGCTCAGGCACTCTGTCAACGGGACTCCAAAGTGGAATTAAAATCCTTAATTTCCATGTACTTTGGAAACCATATTTTTACAGACAGATGCAGAAGAGTATGCTGCTACAGGGCCTGAAATACTGTAAATGCATTGGGTTTATGAACAGCTACTTTAGGTCCCTGGAAGATTCTCACAGCTGACATTTAGCCAGGAGCCTTTCACACCACTTCAAATGAATTATTGCGTTTTCTTTTCCTCTCCAGTGTCTGTGTAACACTATTCTCCAGCATCAAATAATCATGAAGTGAGACTGCAAATACTTGGTAATCAAAGAATCCTGGAACAACTCAGGTGAGGAGGGATTTCTGAAGGTCACCTAATCCAACCTTTTGCTCAAAACAGGGTTAATTTCTAAACCAGGTCACTTTTCACTATTTCTGTTCATAGAGATTTCACAGCATCCCTGACAGCCTGTTTCAGCATTTTACCACTTCCACTGAGAATTTTTTCCCCCCTTATACCTAGCTGGAGTTTCCCTTGCTGCAGTTGTGACTGTTGTCTCTTGTTTTTGTGCCATGCAGTCCTCTATAAGCTACTATAGTAACTATTAAAAACAGATAGTACAGTGTACTTAAGTGTTTCTCCTGGACATTTCCAAATATTAACTAATTAATCACAATTGTCTCCCTGACAATAATGTAGAGGAGGTATTCACTAGTCTGCAAACACACCAGGGCACACAGCATGTCAAGGCTGGCAATAGATGCTGGTGTCCTGTTCTTAGCCTTTTTTTTATTATTATTATTATTTTTTTTAGACAACAGTGCCTCCTCATTTGCTGCTTAAGGAACAACAAACGTACAGCCCGTTGGAAAAGGATCCAGTCAGCTCAGCTGCCTTCTCGGTGGCTACATGGCTAGAGCTCAAAACACGCTGTCAGATCTGGCACTAACACACTGTTAGACATGTTGTTGGTGTCATCAGAAATTAAAATTAATTATCTAGCAACGGAGGCTGAATTCAAGCTTCTTCTCATAAGACCACTGAAGATACAGCTTCTTTTAAAGGAGTTAAAGACCTGAAATGGTATTAAATTAAGCCATTCGGCCCACATCAGCAGCAGGCACTATTATGCTCAATTTCCTTTGGGATCAATAGTGTGTATTTAACAAAAAACATCCAAAATTAAATTTTAAAATGAGAGCTGTAAAGGGGACAGATGGAAAAATGTAGAATTCCACACATACCTGGGCGAAAGGCTGCCTTCATTTTTGTCAAAGCTTCACTACAATCTGCCAAGAGGTACTTTGCTTTCCTGTGGTAAATCCGCACCACTCCCAGGAGTAAGTGTCCAGAGGTTCGCAGAGCTATTGTGAACTTTGGAGATTTAAAAAAAGTTGTTCAGCAGTTAGTATTTTTGGTAAAAACATTAAAATGAAAATATTACACAGCAATAACAGAGTTCTTCTAAAATACACCAGTACAGAGCTCTACAAAATCCAGCAGGGCTTCGAACTGATACAGAGCATTGTAAACAGAAATAAATTTTCAGAACCATGAAATTTAGTTACTTCTCTTAAACATTGTCATGCCAAAGCCTGAGTCCTGAACTGATCCTCTTACTTTATCTAAAACATCTCACATGACTGCCAACAAACCGCATAACGCATCCTGAAACAGAAAGTAGCTGCACAGATTCTAGTGTTTGACACATTTGTTATTTAAGTGAGCAGACACCACACCAGCTATGCCTTTATTTATGCAAATAAAGGCCATAATTATGCCCTTATTTATGCAAAATCTTCCTGCACTGAGCACACTCAACCTGGTCATGCTGATGCTAGACAGGACAGTGTGCAAGGGAAAATAAAGGGCACTTAACGAGTACCAAAAACACTTCCAAATAACATCACGATAATTTTAACAACATTGTTAATCATAACCCACGCAAGACAGACAATGAAACCAAATATCAAACAAGTATTTTCACAGAGATAAAAAAAAAATAAATCTGCTTGCATGAGCTGGACACCTTGGATCTCCTGAGCCATCAATTAGTGACAGTGCAAAGTGTTCCTCACAGCTCCCCTGGATGCAACTGCACCGGCGAGGCCAAGGACTGCGTCACGGGTACCTGACTGCCTGCGTCTCTGCTTGAGTCACATCTTCTCTGTGATACACAGAGGAGTTCAGCCTCCAGGACTGTCTATAAAGAGCTTCTCATAAACATTATGTATGCTTAATTATATATTTAACGGCTTATAATGGGGGATCTGGAAGAAGTTCACTGGAAGTGGAAGGATGGTTACAATATGTCAAAAGTTATTTATTATAAGATGGGCAAAAGCATTCTCCTCAAATGGCCTGTGTGCAATTTCACAGCAGTTTTCTTTGTCCCTTGACTTTGGTTAAGCAGCTGACTATTCAATCGTTTTGAGACAATTTCCTCAAATAGAAGCATTTCCCAAATTCTGTTGAACAATACCCATAGCTAGTACTCAGATTTTCCAAAAAGAGACCAGTGCTAACACATCACACCGATGGGCTCGTGTTGCCTTATGAGCAGCTCAAACCCACGTGCCGTGATCCCTTGGCCAGCGGTGCCCACAGAGCACTCTGGAGCTCTACCAGTGTGCAAAAAAACCCCAAAAACATTTGAATATTTTGTGGTAACATTTTCTTACACTGTACATAAATGTACACCACGGATCTCCAGGAGTAAAACAGCAAGTAAAGTATTTATATAACTGTCTTTTAATGGGATGGAGATTTTTACCTGAGTGAGAACTGCATAAAATCAGAGCAGTTTACCTCACACTGGTTTTGAAATAGCCACAAATTTCTCCTACTAAGTCAATCTCCACAACAGCAACAGTCCCATTCCCTACCACAGATGAATACCTCTACCCCAGCACTTACCAGAAGACACCTCATCATTTAATAGCATACCTTTGGTGAGATGATCTTTTCAACAGTTGTCTCTAAATTGCACTCAAATATATGAGTCTTGGTGAGCTTCTTCTCCCAGTGGGCAGCAAGCCAGATCTTGGCCAACGGCCCACGCTTGTTGACCAGCAAATGCATGTAGAACATGGTGCCTGGGCCCATCCCCTTCCAATGGGAGACGGATCCTGGGGAACGGAGAGGGATTTAGCGGGACCTGAGGGGATGAGGGGATCCAGTTGGGCACTGAGGGGACAGGGAGGATTTAGCAAGACCTGAGGGAATGGAAGGACCCAGTTGGGTGCTGAGGG